AGTGACGCGAGCCGCTCCCTTCAGGTCATCTCTTCCGACAAGTCTGACACGTCTCCAGGCGACGGCGTCTACATCCACGGATTGTATCTTGATGGGGCACGCTGGGACAGAGAAAGGTCAGTAGTTGCAAAGACCTTTCCAATTGTAGCTGAATCATAGATAAGTGGTCTACTGGTTTTTTTTTAAACTAAAGGCCTCCTCTAGGAAAGAAGGCAAGTAATAAATAATATCAGAATTCTTACATAAATCATTACTCAAGATAGGGCAATTGATTACTGATTATTTTTAGGTCCTGAATAATTTCTGGTTACTATTTCAATAGTCTTATTAGTGGAAAAGTTAGCCAAAATTATGTTCCTGTTTCTTCTGTTTTATAAATTATCTTCCATTTTGTACTGTGTAGGACTGCCTCACTCACTGTAAACCACTTACAGTCAGGTAGAATAAAGTTTCCATTTCTATTAGTGAATGGAAAACCTTTTATTGCATTTTGATAAGATAATACATAAATATTTAGAATAAATATTGAATTTCCACTCTTAGGAAACTAGGCAATGCTATTTCTGTTTAAAATACATAAGCATAGGAGAGAAGGAGAGAAAAAACATTTCCCTGGGAGCTCTGGTCTTCAACAGCCCATTTATAGGCATAATCCTCTATCTCCAGAGCCAGGGTCAGACTTTGCCCCCAAGGGAGCACTAAAGACTGAGAAGGAAACATCACATAAGAAGGAACAATAAGGCGGTCTGACAGAAATACTTCCAAATGGTATTATGAGGAGACTCAACTGCACATAATTCATTTTATTATTTCTATTTCTTTTCTTTTTTTATCCCTTTACAGCCATTGTTCTTAACTTAATTTGCCTTATATATGTATTTGTCTTCTCCTTCCTTCCTTCCCTCCTTCCTTCCAACCAACCACCTGACAATGAAGCATAGTGAAATGAAACCAGATTTTCTAGCTAGGCAGATGTATGTTTGAATCCTGACGCTGGCACTTAAGAGCTATGTAACTATGAGAAATGCACTCAGTGTCTCTGAGCCTCCAATCTTTGCTGTGAGATAGGAATAGGAATGGGGACAGGATCATTGTGAGGGTCAAATGTGTGCATAGTGTCTGCCTCCTGGATGGTACTTAAAAATTGGCAGGGCTGGCCATGGGGACTCACACCTGTAACACCTGCAATGCCAGCACTTGGAGAGGCCAAGGAGAGATGATCCCTTGAACCCAGGAGTTTGACACCAGCCTGAGCAACATAGTAAGATCCCATCTATATAAAAGATTTTTTAAAAATTAGCTGGGTGTGATGGCATGTGACTGTAGTCCCAGCTACTCAGGAGGCTGAGGCAGGAGGATTGCTTGAGCCCAGGAGTTCAGGGTCGCAGTGAGCTGTGATCATACCACTCACTCCAACCTGAGAGATAGACCAAGACCCTGTTTCTTAAAAAAAAAAAAGGAAAACATTGATAGACACTGATATTTGTCCACTGTTTTACACTTTGCTGTTCCATAAATTTTTTTTGCTTCCCTCAATTCTTCATTAATACTTCTTCATTTTCTTTTTTTACATTTCTTTTCCTCTATATCTCTGGTCCTTTCTTATATTAAAAGCCAAATAACAAACTCTTCTTAAAAGCAAATTTCATAAGTTATTTCTAATAATTTCTGTCAATTTCTTTTTACAGTGGATTGCTTGCTGAACAATATCCCAAACTTCTGTTTGACCTGATGCCCATCATATGGATAAAACCAAGTAAATATTCTTTTAACAAAATTATTTTAAGTTTTAGGGAGAATAATGACAGATATTAATTGCTCCTCCAAATAAGTTTTTGCTCAAACTTTTTAGGATTTAGCTAAATTAGAATAAACATTGGTGAAATATTTATATTATTTATATTGGAAATATATTATTCTCCCTTTTTTGTGTGCCACTGAGACTATTTTTGGACTATCACTCTGCCTCTTCATGCTCTTAGCCCATGGGAGGTACCATTCTCTTTAAAGCTCTCCCCACCCACTTCTATGAGGGGTTTCAAAGATCCTACAGCTGTCCATCTGTATTTTGATTCTGGACTTCTTTTGCAGTGCCCAGAGGCACAAATAGGCTTGACACAGTCTCTAGCTAGTGACTAGCATTTTCTGGTTGGAAGAAACCCCTAGGCCTAGAGGCCAGCCAGGTGCCCCAAAGCATAGCTATTGCAAGCCACATATACGGAGGCCACTTTTTCCCCCGTGGAGAAGCTACTTACTCCTTCCCTCCTTTTGCCATCATAATTTTTCCACAAGTCTGAAAAAATGAGGCTCATTCTTTTGTTTCCTCTTCCCTAACATTTTTATTCTTAAATAACAATAAATGAAAACATTTACAAATCATCCAGAATCATCACCTAACCTATCAAATATTTTCATTATTAATGTGGTTCAATTATAGCTATAAGAAATGTAACCTTAGTTTAGAAAGACTCCTGACATCTCATATCTGGCTTTTTGGGGTTACACATAGATTCTTTTTGTGAATTGGTAAGAGTTGGTGTGTTTTTCTTATTAAAAACCTGCTCAAAACAAATAGAAACTTCAGCTTCTTCTAATTTATAGATTTCTTATATTAAAATTCTAAGCGGTTGTGTTTCTCCTTTCAAGTTTCCCCCATTACCTATACTGTGTCTTATTCCCTCTTCCCTATGCTTTCCTTCTCTTACTCCTTCCTTCCCAAATCCCTCTTTAGTTCCTTCATGCCTGCTAAGTGATCAGAACTTAAAAAATCAATTCACGTCTTCTACACCTAGAATCATGCATCATGTGCAATCTCTGGCCTTGTTTCACAAACATACCAAACTTTCAACAAACTTTAAAAACCTTTAAATATCATAATAATGATCTTAGATTCAGTACTGGCCATTTTATATACAAGATAAATAGTTGTTCTTCTAGTACCTAGAATAACTGTTTTCTCTTTATCAAATGAATGCATTTCTTTTTTTTTTTTTTTTTCAAGCTGAAAAGTCTCATATTATAAAGTCGGATGCCTATGTCTGTCCCCTATACAAGACAAGTGAACGTAAAGGAACTCTTTCTACTACAGGACATTCTACTAACTTTGTCATTGCAATGTTGTTAAAAACAGACCAACCCACTCAACACTGGATCAAACGTGGGGTTGCTTTGCTTTGTCAATTGGATGACTAAATTGGACAAATTTAGAAAACATCTGAAAGAAGTAAAAAAATATATATTGTCTTCACTTACTTAAAATATATATTATAAAACCAAATATCTTGATGTTGTCCTTTTAAACGGTCTTTGGAATGGTGTTTGCATTGTTCTTCTCCCTGATATACCACTCTTGCTTGGCATATGGCCTTCTAGATGGACTCTTTCGAGATTACAGCCGGACTCTACCTGTCTGTGGAAGGAAAATGTGAAAAGAAGTGTTTGTTGGAAGCATATGAAAACTCTTTGAAGGTTTAATTTAGTTTCTTTTTTAAGTTTGATATCTATGTGAAAAAAAGATTTGAGGGATTAAGTAGATAAAATTCAACTAATATCAGAAATTATCTTTCATAAGTCATTTGCACAGCTTCAGTAATAGTTTACTTTTCATTCACCTACCTGAAAGAACTATACACAAACATTTCAAATGCATAAATTAAGAAATTATAAATAAGGAGAATATTAAAAACAACTACATAACTAAACCCCCATTTCATACTTTTAAGACCTTAGTTCTATAGCTAACAGTGCCCCAGTGAGTAGGAAAGGAAACACAAGGCAGTGAAGTCGCCCACAGAGGCAATGAGATGGCTGGAGAGCACCTCTAACTCCTAAACCTGACGTGACATTGTGCTCCTTGGCATTTGCTGCATATTTAATTGGAAATGTCAAGTGGTCCCTTTGCTATTTTTAGTGTATGTTAATAATTTTAAAATGTTTCAACAAAACAAAGTTTTAGTCAAAATTTTATTGTCTTGTGTAGAGTTAATTCCTTTCTTAGGATTCCAAGGACACTTAGTGCCACAGTTCTGTATCACAAGGAAAATACAGGTACAGTCACCCAGTGAATCTGGACTATTGGGACAGTCACTTTTGATAATTCAGTCCGAGCAACATGTTTGGCCTCTCTTAAGTGGAAAATTGATTCTGGTTTGCAGTGGCTATGCATGTGAGTCTTAAGAGAATGAATTCTCTTTGCATGGCCAAGCCCCTTGCTAAAGCATTTTATCCCAGGAATAAAATATTTAATCCTTTAAATTTGATGAATTACAGTAGTGAAGAAAAGAGTTCATGTTTCCAAAGAGAGTTAAACCACATGTAAAAAACAAGGAGAATGTGCCAGACTGTCTTATGATCAAGTATTTATAGTAAAGCTATTAATGGAATGGTCACTACAGGGGAGTGGAGATCCTAAATATAAATGAAAATTCTAAGGCTTACATGTGCTAGTCCTTAACAGTGAAAACTTCAGTGCTGTCCTAAAGGATATAGCAAAAGGTAAACGAGTCTTTCATATGTGATCAAACCTATTTTATGCTAAAACTGAAAATGTTCTTTTAAAGCCCTTTAGATATTGTCTAATAAAATATATTTGTTCTTGCTATTGCTATTCCTGTTATATGTTGTATTACAAGAATACATTTATTCCTATAACATGTTTACTTTTAGAGTTTACTAAGTAAAATATTATTTTCAGTGGAACGCTCTGAAAATATTTTGGGTGAGTGCTACAATCACTGAGAAAAACTCAAAAGGCAAGTCTAAAATAGATCAATATGAGCATTATCAATGTTACAATAGCACTGACCTAAGTCTTATATGAAAGGTGGTTTTTCCTGAATAAGCTTTAAGTAAATAGCTACTCATGGAAACTTCTAATTTATGTTGAATCTATGGCAGTTCAGAAAACTGTTGTAAATTTATGGAAAATTTTTAAATGAATATTTTGTTTTCTAAATTTTATATTTTCTTCATTTATCAATCCTATCAATTTTCTAATTTCCTGAATTTCATTTATAATTTTAAGCAGTTGATAATCTTTTCACAAATGGAAAAATATTTTTAATTCATTCTGACTTTAAAGTAAACTTGTCAGCGTTTCACATGGATAATTACACCAGTGATGAAGACTTAGAGGAGGATTTTGACACTCAGTTCATCATTCAACAGAGTTTGCAGGATATTTACAAGCCAGGAGCAACACAACGTGCACCTGAGGATGAGAGGTAATGGTTTCCTCATTGGCGATGTGGTATGAAGTACTGTTATTCAACACCTGAGACTTGTCCTTAGCTTAACTCTAGTGTTGTGACAAAAACAGAAGAGAGGGTTGGAATCCAAGGAACTGTCATTTAAACATGTACAAGAGATGATGTTTGATGAGACAGGAAAAAACTGGAAAGAATTCATAATTTAATTAGACACTTAAAAAATAGTTGAAGGAGGTTAGCAGCAAAGCGGGGTGAGGAAATGCAGACTAGAAATCAGAAGGAAGAAATAAACGAGGCTATGAAGGGCTAGAGAAGAAAACTCTGACAGATCTTGTCTTTAGGGAGCTAAAGAAATGCATAAGTCCAACCAAGACACATAGAAAGTTATCTTCAACATTAGTGGGGTAGGTGGGCATGGGGTCCAGTCTTTGATCTACTCAAATCAAAAGGTGGAATTATGTGCACTTACGCACAGGAGAGATCGCCCTTCTGAAGGTGCGGATGCAGAGTTCTCCTCTGTGATGTAAGAATGGCCCTGGTTGCAGGCAGCCAAGCACATCTGGCCAAACACTCCCTGGCTGGTCAGCAGCCTCAGCCCCTAAGGTGGGAATCATGGTTTTTACTGGGGTGATAAGGTTACCTATATTTCCCTTGCCCCCCTCCCCGCTTGAGTCAGAGCTTCAAGCGTGTCCATCCCCTAGTTGGTGCACATCACACTCATTATGTATGTATATACCTATCCTCTCCTTCCCCCACCTGCCCGACACCCAATAAATGTTATTCCTATATGTCCACTTAGGTGTTGATCAGTTAATACCAATTTGCTGGTGAGTACATGTGGTGCTTATTTTTCCATTCTTGGGATACTTAATAGAATGGGTTCCAGCTCTATCCAGGAAAATACAAGAGGTGCTATCTCACCGTTGTTTCTTATAGCTGAATAGAACTCCATGGTATATAAATACCACATTTTATTAATCCACTCATGTATTGATGGGCACTTGGGTTGTTTCCACAGCTTTGCAATTGTGAATTGTGCTGCTATAAACATTCGAGTGTAGGTGTCTTTTTCATAGAGTGACTTTTGATCTTCTGGGTAGATGCCCAGTAATGGGATTGCTGGATCAAATGGTAGATCCACTTGTATGGCTTTAAGGTATCTCCATATTGCTTTCCACAGAGGTTGAACTGGTTTTTACTGGGGTGATAAACCCAGTTTGCTTGGGATGGTGATCTCTATTTGCTTGCTGAGGTAAAACAGGATAAATATGTCTTTTAACTCAGGAGATTTTATAATTACATATAGATTGCTCTACATATTTGCCAGTGGATAAAAAAACGTTAAAAAAGAAAACATAAATAAATATAGAGATGATGAAGTACATCAATCCTATAGTATTTTTTTAATGTAACAAACTCATGGAGTGATCACTATTATTTTAAGTACTTCATAAATTTATTTAAATTCTAATTCTCATTACCTCTCTGTGAGGTAAGTACTATTATTATTCCCATTTAGAGGTGAGGAAATTGAGGCACAGAAAAGTTAAGTTACTCACCCAAGGCCGCAGAGCTGGTAAATGAAGAGCCAGGCAGTCTGACTCTAGAGTCTGTGTTCTAAACCACACACTAGTCCTATACTTTTGTGTTAAAAACCATGACAATCAACTATTTTTTAAATAATTTTTGCTAGAATTATTGACATTACAGAGTGATCATTAAATTTTACCATGCAATAATGTGACATTTCATTCCTAGGCAGGTTTGATTCAGTTCAGTAAACGTTGATTAGGGGCTTCTTGTGATCCAGGCCCTTACACAGCCCTTGCCCTAAAGCAGCGAACAGTCTAATAAGGGAAGGTGACATGGGAAAGGAGTGTCCCTAGAACGTGTTAAGGGCGTGTTCTAGGGAAATGTTCTACACTATTTTACATTTTACCAATAGAAGCATTTCTAGTAAGCCTCAGTCATTGCCTCATATGAGAGTTCTTCCCTGATTAACTATTACTCCTTTTCCTTTTGATTTTTGTCAGATACCTTAGTTTTTTTCCTCAATTTTGGAATTACATATGTATTTTTTTCTATGCAGCTTCCATTCCTTTTTGAGCACTGACTATAAGAAGATAATTGAAACAATAGAGACAGTTAAGTACTCTCTTCCTATTCTATCTCCTTTAACTGTGGTAAGATGTAATGGTGACAACTGGCTGCATTTCCCTTGAAGCTCCAGAAGCCTAGGAGCAGGTTTTCCAAATGCTGGACACTGTGGGATTCGCCAGCTGACTGCCAAGAGTCTGATGTGGCCTTTCTGGGAGAAAATACATCAACACGACTTAGCAAATAGCTCCAGGTTTCCTCATAAAGTGGGCTGTTTTTCTGTATGTGACAAGACACTGGGGGTGGGTGTTGATAGGCCCAGGTGGTATGGAATACTAGATGATAGAACTTAACTGTCCCACGCCTTTGGAATTTGTCTTTCGTAAAAGGTGGTGCTAAAATTCTGTTGTCTCACACACTAAATTTGGTGGTGGAATTCAGAGGCAATATAAGTTGCCTTGTATGTGTGCCAAAAGTGAATCTGTTCTCATTTGACTTGTTAATAGGTAAGGAAGATGCATTGTCACACTTAATCAAGTACCATTCTGCTTTTGATGAAGCAGATGAGATTGGCTGGCTTCCTTTGCATAGGGCTGCAGTGCAAATAAATAAGAACATTTTGGAAATAACCCTAAAAGGTAAACTCCCTTTTACTCTTCTTGATGCTTCTAAGAAATAAATTTAAAATTTATTTCTATATCTTAACCTGTGTGCTATTTCAGCTTCAAAACCCAGCACATGGGAGCAAACAACCCACAATGGTGAAACACCACTTTTTTTGGCTGTCAGTAATTGCCTCCTAGAAAATGCCAGTTTTCTTCTTCTGAATGGCTGCAATCCGAATGCTAAGAATTTCGAAGGCAATTCTCCTCTCCTTACAGGTAACGAATGCCTTGTCTCTGCAGGAGAGTCGCCGGCTCTGAGTCTCCTTCATGCCCACAGGCTTCAAGGGCAGCTTTTGGGACATAATTGGAGCACTGTCACTCTGGTCCCAATGACTAGACATGCGTACTTGACCCTCCAAAGCTTTCTACAGGCTGCCTGTGAGGTGGCCTGAGGCAAAATCTCTGCCCAATCAAGAGCAGCTCATCTTGCATGTTGCCTTCCTCAAACCAGTTCACTCTGGTGTGAGACACAGACAGCACAGCTACCCTGTGGAGTGTGGCTAGGCAGGCAGCTGAAATGGGAGTATTGGTTGAAAACGATTAAGAAGCAGGTTGTCAGATCTCTAGATCATTCCTCCCCAACCCCAGTAAAATTCTGGAGGTTTATTCTCTCCATAGCTTAAATGGAGAGTCTCTGGACCAGAGGATTTAAGGCGAGTGTGGGAATACTAAACCGAAAACACTGAAGGAATTAAGCAAGCATAGGCTGAAACCACCTAACCCTCCTCGCCTTCAGCTACCCAGAAAGCTGGCAGCCAGGCCCTCACCCCCTATGGAGGAGGCTTCTCTGGAAAATTTGACCAGCACAAGAAGAAAGATCTAAAGATAATGACATTGGGGGTTTGCCAATAAATAGCTCAAACGTATCAACCTATCATTAAGCCCACAACCCACAAGCCCTATCCACTATTTAGAATTTCCAATCAGCTTTTTAGTCCCCAACTCTTAATCATGAGCAGAGAGCCAAAGGATGTCTGAGGAAAGTCTTCAACAAACAGATAAGCAATTTGGAGGAAACAGATTATTTGGGGAGAATAAAATGTAAAGTGAAATTATCATTAGTTTCTTCAGAAGTTAATGAAATAGGAACAGGATACTAAAAAAATGCCAAAACAAAAAGATGTTCTTTAAAAACTCATAATGATGCTGGAAGTTGAAGTTTAGGAAAGCTTCCAGAAAAAGACAAGACATGGAAAATAGGAAAGAAAAGAAATTTAAAAACTCGAAGGACAACCCGAGAGGAACAACACATGGATGATAGAAATGATTGAGAGAACAGACAAGGTGGAAGCAATACATCACCAATGAAATAAGTCCAGAAAATGATTTCCTAAAATGAAGGACATGTGTTTCCAGAATGAAAGGGCACACTAAGTGGCAGCTCAGTGAATTGCAAATGACCCAGCACCCTTGGCACTTTGTTTCCAGTCTCAGAGCAATGAGAGCACTTTCTATGTGACACATTGTAAATAGTTATAGGCAGAATTCATAGTGATTCAGCACCCTGGCATCTAGCAAGATTCCTCATACATGTTTAGTGCCAATAATTAGTGAATAGTGAGATGGATAAATTCAGGTGTTTTAGGATCTTGAGGGACTAAGGATCATCATCCAAATGTGAATTAATAGTATAAATGCAGAAAAGCCAGTTATTAGAGAATTTGTTAACAAAATGTGGTTAAAAATCATTTCTATAAACTTAACATTAGAAATAAATGCAAGGATAGATATGAAAATATCAACAAAGATCATTTCAAAGAAGTGGGATTATGGGTCTTTTTCTGCATATATAGTCTAAGTTCATTGAACATGAATCCATTTTATCATAACAAAAAAAGCATAAAAAGTTTTTTTTAAAAAAAGCCACAGCCACCAGGGACAAAGAACTTAACTAAGTTTCTACAAGCTTCCTAAGAGAAGGGGGAAAACAAAGGGATACATCATATACAAAAGATGACAAATCAGAATGGTTTTAGACTTCTCAATAGTAACTAAAAGCTTGAATAAATTAGTGGAGAATAGTTTTACAAAATCTGAAAGAAAATGATTTCCAACTTAAACTTCTATATTTAGCCAAACTATCAAATCTAAAGGTAGATTAAAGACATGGAAGACATATAATGTCAGACACAGGCAATTTCAAAAAATTCATCTCTCACATAGCCTTCTTATGAAGCTACCAATATGGGAGTAAACTAGAAAAACAAAAGCTTGGGATCCAGGAAACCAGGAGATCCAACCCAGGTGGTAGGCAAATGAGATCCCCAAGATGATGGAACAGCAACCCTAGGGTGACGATATGTTACTAGACACTGAAGTCCAGACTGGAACAGGTCAGGACGCCCCAGGTAGAGGCTGCTTCAAGACCACGATGGGATAGGAATGAATATCTTGAAAGGAGATTTAGACAGATTTAGACAGTTTGGGGTTGAATTAATAAGCAAATTGAAAACTAAGCAAATGAAATGTAAGACAAGTATGAACTCTAGAGAAAAGAAAAAGATGTGCAGAAAAGGAAATATAATTATAGTCCAGCTATACAATAGCAAACATAAGGTAAACACAATATTTCTCTAACAAAAATTATGCTATAAAAATATGAGAAAGATGGTTGGATGAAAAATGTATATGTGTGGTAGGGACAGAAGGAGAAAAGAAAATTAAATCCTCATTTTTCCATGGTGAGAAGTCATTTAAGTTATACCAAAACCAAAAAAATCAAAAAGTAGCAATACAAGGATGTTATTTAGAAAAAAATGTTAATATCAAAGAGTCAGCTAAAAGATGCCTCTAGGGAAGAAGAAAAAGGCTAGGGAAACAGTAGTGGACTTTATAGTAAGTGACTCTTTAAATTCTGCATATGCATAACTTTTTTCAAAACAAAAACTAAAGATTAAAAAGAGAACAGCAACAGAGTACTGCCAAAAATTGGGATTTGGAATCCATTCATGGTTTGTCCCAAGATGCTCTCTAAGGCTTTACATTTGCAGAAAAAAACACCAAGAAGATCCCTAAGAAAGCACTCAAACTATATAGCATAAAGAATAGTGAAAGAACTCTGTATAGCAAAAAGAACTCTGGATCAGGTCTAACTTCCCTAAACCTGTTTCGTCGTCTATAAGGTTGGGATAATGGCAGTATTTATCTTGTGTGTGTAAAAGTCACGTATGTAAAAAACATGAAGCTGTGAAGCCCGTCATAACAATGGTGGAAAGAGCTGGTTTTCCTCTCTTGACTTCTGCCTAGTTAGCAGGTCAAATGATTCCATTTCTGTGGTACCTGAACAGCATGTCCCCACAGACAGATCAAGGAAAATACTGGGTCAGGCCGGGCGCGGTGGCTCACGCCTGTAATCCTAACTCTCTGGGAAGCTGAGGCGGGCGGATTGCTCGAGGTCAGGAGTTCGAAACTAGCCTGGGCAAGAGTGAGACCCCGTCTCTACTATAAATAGAAAGAAATTAATTGGCCAACTAATATATACAGAAAAAATTAGCTGGGCATGGTGGCACATGCCTGTAGTCCCAGCTACTCGGGAGGCTGAGGCAGGAGGATCGCTTGAGCCCAGGAGATGGAGGTTGCTGTGAGCTAGGCTGACGCCATGGCACTCACTCTAGCCTGGGCAACAAAGCGAGACTCTGTCTCAAAAATAAAAAAATAAAAATAAATAAATAAGAAAAGAAAATACTGGGTCAAAGTTAAGCAAGTTTAGGCTTGCTTAACTTAAAATTTCTCATAGGCTTCAATATACCAATGTACAAAATGAATCTTGAAGAGGGTGTTAGAATACACAGTGTTCCCAAGTCTTTTATTGTATTTTTTCTTTAACTACAGAATCATTTTCTTCACAAAGAACCTCCAGGGGCTTTCTGCAAAACACGTTTGGGAAACACAGGCCAAAACCATTTTCTATGGCCTCAGCCACTCACTCAAACATGCCTATTTAAATAACATTTTAGTAATTTGCTGAGGTAGGTTCTGTTGCTGTTTTTGTTTTTCCTCTTTTAAAATATCTACAAGCATTTTCAGGACTATATTAAGTTCCCATTTTCTTGAGAAAATAAAGATGGTAAATGAAAATTTTATATGTTTGTGTTTCAACCACATAAGCTGCTACTGAATAAATGAATCATCAGCACATTGTCCACAGAAGCAGATAATGAATGGTTATGGCTTACAGAAAAACAAATAGCCCACTGATATAAAACAGTACCGATATTATTTGACATATGCCTTATTTTACAATTTGTTTCCTAAACACAGAGTGCTGGGGCAAGTGGGGGATGGGTAGGGAGCACCCCTTAAGAAAGCCTGAGGGACACTAGCCAATAGGATACTCCAGCCTCCACTTCCTGTTGAACATAATGCCCCCTGACCTCTAATTTCCCAGCTGTTCTGCGTGACTCCTACGACATGGCTGCCTTGCTGATCAGCCACAGAGCAGATGTCAATCTGCGGTGTGCCAACGAGAGGACAGCTCTCCATGAAGCAGCCAAACTGGGCAGACTGGACATGGTGAAGCTTATGCTGGCTTCTGGGGCGCACATTGACCCACAGAGCTCCTATGGATTCACTCCTCTTGCTCTGGCTGCTCAAAATGGCCACACTGAAATCATGGAAATGTTACTGCAAAAAGGCAAGATGTTCTGTATGGTCCTATCCTCCCAAGGGCGTGATCCAAGTGTTCTCCTTTTGATGGAGAGCTTCAAAATAATAGAAGTTAACATTTTCATTAAGACTAATATAAATGTTTGATAAAATTTTGTGTTAATATTAACTATTGAAAAGCCTCATTGGAGCATTTCAGATTTCATATTTCTGGATTAGGGATGCTAAATCAGTACGTGTAATGCAAATATTCCAAAATCTGAAAAAAGTCCACAATCTGAAACATTTCTGGTCCCAGATATTTTGAATAAGGGATACGCAAGCTGTACTACAATTTATCTTTTTAACTATCAGCAGTCCCTAACTTCAATTAAAACTAATTAGTGTCTCTTACCATGAACAGTCCTCTAAGAACAAGTTAGAACAAAGGCCCTTTTCAACCAAAACAGTATCATCAGATGGTGTAGTGATATAGTTCAATAGGTTTATTAGTACCATCCTATATGTAAGAGTGCTGAGTTAAATGGGCTTTTGTAGACTGGTCTAGAAGTAAAACTACTTTTTATCAAAGTGTTTCTACTGGAGTTTTCAAGTTACAAACAACTTGTAAAATTACTCTGAAAGCCAACCTATCTATAATTTAGAAACTGCTTGTGCCATTTTTTTCTTCCTCATATAGTTTATAAGCTGCTTGAGAGCAAGAGGTCATATTTTATTTCTTTTTTTTTTTTCCTGAAGAAAGTCAGCAGGTAATATTTTATTTCTTTTAATGCTTTGCTAGAGTAGGTGCTCACTAATTGCTTTTGGGTGATAGTGATATATTTTTTAATTGCTTAAGCAATGCAGTGGAAAAAAAATTTTTGCATAACATGACTCTTTATCCTCTTAGGTGCTAATGCTCACGGTCAGGCCTCTGATTCTTCTTCCATCTTACTTGAAGCCACTAGTGGAGGAAATCCAGACTCCGTGGCTCTCTTGCTAGGGTATGGAGCTGATGCCAACATCCCTAAGAGTTCAGGCCACCTGCCCATTCATGTGGCAGCGGACAGAGGCCACTTATTGTAAGTTCAATTGCATTATTGTAAATAATAGAAATAGTAATAGCTACCTTTTATTTTCAGCCACTACCAGGAAATTTATATTCTTTTTCTCTGATCCTACAACTAAACACCCCTTTTATTAAAGATAAGAAACTCTTGACCAGCTAGAAGGTAGTAAAGCCAAACATCCTCTGAAAAGATATAAAACTTTTATCAGGTCCTTAGGCAACATGGAGGGCCTCTGGTCTCAAATGACAGGACTAATTCTGAGTTTTATAAACTAGACAGTAGTTCCATTTGATTTTACTTGGTATCTGAGCTTTTGAATGAAGGAATTATGCTTATTTGTTGGGGGTTCTAAATACCACCTGATAGTAATACCATCCAGTTTAGTAAAAGCAATCATAAACAGGTTAATGTTGCATCTTAACAAAAACTATTTTGAAATGCACTTTGAAATTATTTTTCAGAGCTCTAAAGATATTGATTCCAGTTACAGACCCTGCTGCCATTAAGCAGAGTGGGATCAGTCCAGTTCACTGTGCAGCAGCAGGAGCACACCCTCAGTGCCTGGAACTTCTCATCCAAGCTGGGTTTGATGTGAATTTCATGCTGGATCAGAGAATTCGCAAACACTACGATGACCAAAGGAAGTCAGCTTTGTATTTTGCTGTATCAAATGGTGACCTTTCTTCAGTTAAACTCCTTCTGAGTGCTGGAGCTCTGCCTAATCAAGACCCAGTTAACTGCCTCCAGATAGCCCTCAGGATGGGCAACTATGAGCTGATAAGTCTGCTGCTAAGACATGGGGCCAATGTCAACTACTTCTGCAGAGTTAATCCCTTACATTTCCCATCAGCACTGCAATACACACTGAAAGATGAAGTGATGCTCAGGATGCTGCTGAATCATGGGTATGACACAGAGCGATGTTTTGATTGTCCTCATGGGGACAAAGTTCATCCTTCCTATACTCTTGAAGGCTGGACATCTACAGTTATCAAAGATACTAAGGTAAGCCCACAGCATTGGCTGTATTGCCTCACAGTCATTATCTATGGCCCTGAAACTACAGCAGTAAATGACTCCATCCACTCTCTCCAGAAGCTCATGGTTAGAAAGATTCTAGTATAATAAATACATGGTAAGATAATTATAATATGATAAAATAAACACAATAGAAAGATGTAAAAGGTACAGAAATAGTTCAGAGGAAAAATTGATTTAACTCTACCTAGCACTGTCAGGAAGTTTCATAAATGAAGCAACATTTGAGCAAGGTTTTGAAGAATGAATGCAGTTTTAAATACCAGTTATGCTTTTTCTTTGAATGAGTTATCTAACTAAAATGCTTTTGGGTTCCCAATACCTGTACCCCTAGGTTTGGCTATTTCTTTTAGCTCTAACATTTGACTAAATGGTTTCCTTTGGTCACTTTTCCAATGAAAATAGAATCACCATCAATACAGTTGACCACTCCTCCCTTTTGAGACATTTTTCCCTTTTGGCTTTCATCACACCACACTCTCCTAGTTTTCCCCTACCCTAGACGGTCATTTCTGTTTTCCCAACTTGAGCTCTCCCCCAGCTTTTCAAATGGCTGCCACTCTTCAGATCTCATTTCAAGTGTCACCTCTCCAAAGAGGCCCTTCCCTTTCCACCTTTTCTGAGGTAGTTTCCTTCCCCAATCATTCTTTTATCATGCTGTTCATTTCTTTTATAGGATTTATCTTTCTAAAATTATCATTTTAATATTTTACTGATTTTCTCCCCCACAAATACAAGAGCATAAGCTCTTATCACTTTTCACAGCCTACAAATAAATCTGTGCTTAGCACATAATGGATGCTCTATAAATACTTGAATTCATATTATCAAAATTGAACATAGAAATGAAATGGTGAATTGGAAAAAGCATTTTGAATGAATTGTGAAAAGTGAAAGCCGAAATATTTTAATATTATACAATTTATTATTTTTAGGTGATTAATGTAGGACTTACTTTCTACATCATTAATTTGGCATTAGGCATATATCATCTTGCATCATTTCCCAACTATTCATATAGGTTTCCCATCTGGGTATCTTATCTAAGAGCATATTAATTACTTAAAGGTAGAAACTGTCCTATCCCTCATGTATTAAGGTAGGATTCAGTTACGAATGACAGAAAACCCCCAAATAAGAGTAGCTTTAACAAGATGGCTCATTCCCCTCTCATATAAAGGCCAGAAGTAAATAGCCTTTTTTTTTTCAATGCAAGTATCACTTAAGTAAATAGCCTTCTAACTGGACAGCTTCATGATTCACACAAGAAACTCATGTCCACACTGCAGCCAACAAGAAGGCAGGCAGGAGCCAGCACATCCCTTACTTCTCTTTAAGGACATTCTGGGAATTGCTCACACTTCCACTTACATCTCACTGGCTACAACTTAGGTGGCCACACCTAGCTGCAAGTGAAGCTGGAAAGGTCATCTTTATTTCACACAGCCACATGACTAACCAAAAGGGTTAACAGATAATATGTGACACTCTCTGTCGCACCCCTATTACATCTTATATAGTTCTGAAGGCAAAGCAGTACATATTTTTCCAATGTTAGACCTAAGGCTAAGAGATAGATTTTCTTGCTCAAGACCATAGTTTATAAATGAGGAATTTAAGATCTTGTTTGCCGACTCTGATTTTAGTGTTCTTTTGATTATTATGCTTAACCATAGATACTTTCTGCTGTTCATTTACTTTCATAGTTCTGATTTTTTTACCCCTCAGTTCTGTGAAGTAATAACTTTATCGTGGCTGCAACATCTCTCTGGAAATGTTGTTCGAGTGATGCTTGATTACGTTGATCAAGTTCGGGTCTGTTCAAAGTTGAAAGCTGTGCTCCAAAAACAGGGGCTCTGGTCAGAAATACATTTCATCTTAAGTGAGTCTATTTCTTGTAGAAGACTTTCACCAAAATACTAATTATATTCTCATTTGTTTTTTTTTGGTTTTTGGAAAAACCCTCCAATCCAAGTAAAAACCTGAACCAAAAAAAAAAAAAAAAAAATACTATTCCTATCTTAAAAATTTTACTAACTATACTTAATTTGTACTTATTACCTTTTCCCAGGAGATAAAATCTGTTAAGTACTTATTACATAGGTATCCCAATCCATCTAAACCATGGCTCTGAAGGAACACTACAGACACAGGAATTCAAAGCTATGAAATGGCAATAGAAACAGGAATAAGAAAAAGCTAAGAGCTAAGTCTGTAGAGGGTATCAAATGATCCTTCTCCAAACCAAATTCTTTCAAAGTAGTACTTACGTCAAATTAAGAATTTCTTTCATCTCATTTCCTCCTGGGTGATCTTCAGTTTTTAGCCTGCCCCTGAGGAAAAGGGGCAGGAAGAGGGTCCTAATAACATGCAGATACATGCAGACTTAAGGTCTCACAGCCCATACCCACAATTGATGCCAGTCTTTGGACTCTAACCTGACAATGTGACATAGCTCTGAAATGGTTATCTACGAGGGTTGCAAAGAACTGAAAAGCTATTTCCCATTTAGTCACAACAAATGAAGTGTATCAAGTGCATTTCCTAACTAAACCCTAAGATCACTAAAAACTAATTTTTTTCCTTTTGGATAATGTGCCTATTTCCTTCATTTTAGCAAATCCTCGCTCCCTAAAACATTTGTGCCGCCTAAAGATCCGGAAGTGTATGGGACGTTTACACTTGCGCTGCCCTGTCTTCATGTCATTTCTTCCATTACCCAATCGTCTAAAAGCATATATCCTTTACAAAGAATACGACCTTTATGAACAAAGAATTTTTACAGGAACATGGTAATCAAACCATTCTAGAAGAAAAGGTATAATTCTGAAGCTGTATTTCTTAAAAATTGACTTATTACATAAGATTCATATTTTTTGCTTTACCTAGCAACTAAAGTCTCAGGGCAGCCTACATTCTTTAAAAAGTTGCTCTGAGCCAGGTATGTTGGCATGCACCTATAGTCCCAGCTACTATGGAGGCTAAAGTGGGAGGCTCACTCGAGACCAGGAGTTCAAGGCTGCATTGCACTATGATGGCACCTGTGAATAGCCACTGCACTCCAGCCTGCGCAAAATAGTGAGACTCCATCTCTTAAAAAAAAAAAAAGGTGCTCTGAACACAGCCTCTCAATATGCCTAGCATTCTAAAAGGCAGTTTAAAAAAATAAAGCCCAAATAATACAAATTTCGATTAACTGAAATATACCAGTTCTAATTCTATGTTGATCTTATATTAAATGTATTAATCCAATTTCTATGTGCTCAAAATAATAGATGCCACCTCCAACTATTCAAGATAATTCTTAACAGTATCTTTTTTATAGAGAGGTACACATATAATACAGTAGTCTCCTCTTATCCTTGGGAGATCTTTCCAAGACCCCCAAGTGGATGCCTGAAATTGTGTATACTACTCTGTATCCCTACGTATACTATGTTTTTTCCTATATAGTCATGTATCACATAACAATGTTTTTTGGTCAACTGCATATGCACTGGTGGTCCCATAAGATTATATAATACCACATTTTTATTGTACCTTTTCTATATTTAGATATAAAAATACCATGTTACAATTGTCTACAGTATGCAGTACAGTCACATGCTGTATAGGTTTATAGCCTAGGAACAATAGACTAATACCATATAGCCTAAATGTGTAGTAAGCTATACCATCTAGGTTTGTGTAAGTACACTCTATAATGTTTCTACAATGATGAAATTGCCTGACACCACATTTCTCATAATGTATCCCCATCTTTAAGCCTGTTACATGACAGATGACTGTACATACATACTGTATGTTGTAGATATGCTGGACAAAGAAATGATTCACTCCCCAAGTGGGATGGAGGGGGACAGCAAGAGATTTCATCATGCTACTCAGAACAGCATGCAATTTAAAACTTATGAGTTGTTTATTTCTGGAATTTTCCATTTAGTATTTTAGGATGACGGTTGACCCTGGGTAACTGAAATTGCTTGGAAAGCAAAACCATGGATAAAGGGAACTACTGTATGTCTTAGTGATTGGACTGAATATATTTTGACCCCAGTACATGACCTAGAAGTAAGCTGTTCTTGTACAAAAGTCCCAATGCCAGCTTAGTGTCTGATACTGTTTCCTTATAAAGTCAAGTACAGAGGTGAGGTAATTCAGTTAATTGAAACAGAATCTTCAAGTGAAATTTCATTAATAGGAAACATGTGTCCCTTCTTTCCACAAAACCATTTATTGATTGATGTGATAACTAGAATGGGAATTAAAAGTGTTTTCAAATGGATGATGGCTTATGGTTTCTGTACTGAACCTAACCTGGTACTGGACATGGAGGGGCTCACTGATAGCAGTTATAAGACATTAGTTTAAGTTTTTATTTCTACATATTCTATGCTTTACGTAAGTACAGGTTTCTACATGTGGAAAGAGAAGAGAGAAACAGATGTTCGTTTAGCCACACTTTTATCACATTTAGACAGCATCATCAGCATGGACAACAGAAAGGTAGGGTGAGGTAGTCCATTTCACCACGGCCCAGTCAGCTATAGCTTTGATGTTACATGTCTAGTCTCAGTGAATTTTTTTTTAGCAGTGAATCGTCCATTTTAGGGAAACTGACCCTTTATGATTTCTTTCTGACATAGGGATGCATAAGTAGGGACACACTAAAAATTATTTTTATAGTTTACATTAAAAAATTTATAAAACTAGCTGACATGAATAGCTCTTTTTTAGATCAAATTGTAGTGTGTGCTTACAAGTGAGTAGTAGACTATATAAGTGAATATATATTTAGGGTATATGTGGACTTAGATAAATTACATAATTCTAAAGTTAATTTCATCTACTCCTTGGATCTTCTAAAAGTGTATATACATTTCTATGAAATTCAAAACAAATTAGAATACAAACTCCCCAGAGAAGAAAAGAAATAAGTGCCATAAGAAACTATAAAGAGCACACAGGATTAATATGCACTAGTATTAAAACTACAGATCCAAGCTACTTAAACTGCATACATGATAACCTGCCCCTTTAAATTAAAGGAATTTCTTTGAGTAGGACCAGACAGTAGCAAGCGTACATCATCTGTAACATGTCTGGGGTAATTATTGAAGTCTCTTAAGTCTCTTTCCTTTGCTAAAAGAAAAAGAAAGTCGCCAGTGATGAATTTGTTTGCTTCTATAACAGACTTTTCCCAATAAGTGAAAAAATTTTTTTCATTCTAGTTGTTGTGGAATTGTAATGGGACTAGATATATAATTTAACAGATTAAAAAAAAAGTCCAATAGTTTTACAAACATCTGAAATTACTTGGAGAAATAAAATTCTGAGTATATATCAAATACTTCATACAAAAAGACTGTACAAAAATCATGGACTTTATTATACATTAAAAAATCTTCTAATAGCATATTTCCTGAAGCCTTGTCAGCAAATACTTATTTTGACAAAATGAAAAAATAAGTTTTCCGCCCCACATGTACACCATGATCACATAAAATTGAGTTCTTCAAATCTAGTTCTAAAGCAAAATGTTGCATGATTTTTAATTGTACATTGCATGATTAACAGTATCAGTGAAATAAGAATTAACCAATTCACTTACATTACAAAATCACCAACTATACAAAGCAATTTTGCACATTAGTTGTAACTTAATCCCCAGTTCTCATATTAACTGAAGTAAATTCCATATAAGTACAGCCACAAGAGATTGGTTAAAAAGTATAATATGGTTCCAGTTTCAAATCTTTATGCATTATTAATTAATGTAAGAGAACAAAATTTCATGGAAGAGTAAACCAAACTTGCTAAAAATAAAATGAAGGACTTGCTTGCTACAACTGGTGTGTTTAAATATTTAAAATACATTCTGAATGCCAGGAGGCTGTTGTCAAAACCAACACTAATATTTTCATTTTATTTAGTTGGCAGAAGCTTTTGCAATATACTAGCTCTTAAGGTCTGGCAGCATGTCTAATATTCAAATTTTAAATACTGTGGTTCCTAGATATAACTCAAAATTAACCCAGATACCTTTACCACATAAGATGTTATGGTACCTAGGATGCACATCTTACTGTCCTTTTCCCAAGCATAATGTGGAGCCTGAGGATTCTTTTGAAATTAAACACAAAGAAATCATTGTAGATGTGGCAAAAACTATACTAGCTTTGGGGACTGTGTTCGAGGTAACAGTTTCGGTCTCTTGTTATCAAGTTTTCAAAATTTTCAAAAAGGAAGAAGGAATAACTGGTTTCCTACCAACTGACTTCATTACCACAGTTACAAAAGTACTGTTCATATAGGTAGCAGAATGCAGAGCAGAATTAGGTAGGCTTAATTTCTTCTCTTTAAAAAAAAAAAAGCTCTTTGTTAATTTCTAAAAAACCATTAAGTGTAAATCTTAATTTGAGCAAAGATATCCCCAAATCTAATCTAATCACTATCAAAGCATCTCAGAGCTAGAAGAGATTTTAAAAGAGGATAACAAGATCAGCTTTAACATTAGGCAGAAACCCATGGGCAGCTTTCTTTAATAACAAGAGCTTATTAAAGTTGATACTTAAATATCTGCAGTAATAGAATAGTTCATATAGTTCAATAGTAATAGAACAAAAGTTGAATCATCTAAAATTGTTGAAATCCACTCATGACTTCTATTGGGCACTGGAATGCATTTTGGTCTGACCTACCGACATGGAGACATGAGTATGTTATTGTGGAAATTCCTATGGAAACATGACTTAAAAGAACTACAAGTCTGTCCAGCATCCCTAAGTCTGCCAGTACCTTGAACTCTAAGCCTACACTTTGACCCAGAGTGCTAATAAAGGGCAGCACTTTACTACCATGCAAAGCACAAGCAAAATGCCTCCTAATGATGACCACCTTCCTGATAGGGCAACAGTTTTGTCTGAACTCAGTGAGGTAAAACTTGTATACACAAAAGATTTAATGAAACAGAAAGCTTACTAATCTCAAAAAGGTCTTAAAAGCAGGACTTGCCATGACTAGTTAAGTGCTGACAACAGAAGAAATTCCAACTTCAACAAAAGGAATGATACACTATTGTGAAAGCATTCCCTTTGGTAAGCACAAAATAAAGTATTTCATAAATTTCTACTTTTTTACTATGTATTTTGGTAACATAAGGCATCAAAGAGTATTAAATAATCATTATTTCCATTTGGCACATGGATAAAAAGAATATCACGATCCTATATATAATTATCTATCCCATTTCTACAGAAAACAATGTACATACACAGTGTGAAATAGTCAAGTTATGTTTTGAGAACAGATGCCATTTCTAATTCAGAACTAACAAGAAAAAACTGTGTATCAAAGTTTCCTTTGTGAAATTAGTCTTAGTGGCTAACCTCTTGAAAATGTATAAATGTATGACTATGTAAAATACTGTAAACTCAATATATTTAACTTGTATATATAGATACTTTTTCATGTGAAACACATGAATGTAATTTCTATCAGCAATGTTGATTAAAGAAAAAGAAATCAAGATTTGACACAGAAGACAGACAAGTATAGAAATATTTTAACCTTGGCACCAGGCTAAAATCCTTTCTTGGTCAACTTCTCCTACACTGTACCAGACATTCAGTTTCTTTTCAATCTGTCATGGAATTGGACCTGTTATTCATTTAAAGAATTAGAAGTACTTAGAATAATTAGTGCAAATTACTGTATTCTCATTTATTAGTTATTTGCCTTTGTGGATATAAAGTGGTGATTCAGTACTTTATCAAAACATAGGATTATGAAAATACTGGGAATATCAGTCTGAAATTTAAAAGATTACATTTTCTAAACTAAAGTCTGAGAATTTTTACTTTAAGCATGAAACATAATTGTTATAGAATTTCTTTTGAAACAAACATCACTTGATTTTCAATAAAAACTATTTCACATAATGCAGAAAGTATCATCCTGTTATAACATCCTTACACATCAATCCTAATCTAAAATGTATCTGAACAACAAAAAAATCTTTTAACAAATTCCAAAATCTTATTTTTAACCATTACTGCTTTGCAGCAATAATTGAAGTCCCAACCTGAGAACTAAGAGTGTCATAATAAAATGCCAAGGGCTGTATCAATCTTAAACTGAATACACTTAAGTGTCTTTCCTACTAGCATCAGGTGTAGTACATCAGAGAAATCTGAGCAATCTAAGAAAGTGCCCTGAAATCCATAGTACCACCTGCCACAATTTGAAACCTTAAGTGTAAAATCTCTGTTCTAATTATTTTATAAAAGTTCTATTGCACATTTAATATTGTTAAAATATCTGCAAACCTGTAGAATTCTCTGTATAAAGGGTTTTAAACCTGTTCAGCTCACTGCTTCCTCATTGCCAACAAGACACTCCTAATGAAAGAGAGAGAGCATATCCATGAATATCTGAGCCTGAAGAATAAATAATTTATGGTCACAGCCAATTACAATGCAAGATAAAAAGTTCAGTTTGGGCCGGGCGAGGTGGCTCATGCCTGTAATCCTAGCACTCTGGGAGGCAGAGGCGGGCGGATTGCTTGGGTCAGGAGTTCGAAACCAGCCTGAGCAAGAGCAAGACCCCGTCTCTACTATAAATAGAAAGAAATTAATTGGCCAACTAATATATATAGAAAATATTAGCCGGGCATGGTGGCGCATGCCTGTAGTTCCAGCTACTCGGGAGGCTGAAGCAGAAGGATTGCTTGAGCCCAGGAGTTTGAGGTTGCTGTGAGCTAGGCTGACGCCACGGCACTCACTCTAGCCTGGGCAACAAAGCGAGACTCTGTCTCAAAAAGAAAACAAAAAAAACCAAAACAAAACAAAAGTTCAGTTTGAAGAAAAAAAAAATGCTTGAGCAAATGTAACTCCTCAGCAATCTACTGCAGAGATGAGCAGGTTTCTTTTAGACATGTGGAATTTAATGTTAATGCATGGTATATTATGTGTAAGGGGGAAAAAAACCAATGCAAACCTACCTCATCAAGTTCAGTCTTATTTTTTAAAATGAAGCTAAAACAAGTAAATATAAAGCTTAGTCTCCTCCTTGATATTTCAACATAGTTGTTATCTTATGCCATTTCACCACAGAAATTGTCAAATTCCAAGGGGGGAAATATGAATCAAAAAGCAAAGATAAGTTTATGCTTCTGATTCTCTCTTCTTCCCTTCTTCTCCCAAATCACTCTCTTCTGACTGGCTACTGCTAAGGACAACAAACTGCCCCTCACTACTGGCTTGGTTTGGTCTACTGGAAGCAGCTATCAACCGACTTTGTTCTTCCAAGTCCTAGTGGAAAAGACAGAAAAGAAGCTAAGTTAATTGTCTGCAGTCAAATGGAAGACCTTGCAGTTAAAATACATACTTGAGAGCCACTTCAATCCTTCTGTCACAAATACAGATTCATAATTTTGATGAAAAGCAAGGCCACATCCAACCAATGTAACACCAAACTGAATTTTGGCACCATTCTAGAAATCCTACAAAAGCCAACATTCAAATTAAAATCTCTGTAGTGTTTTCCTTTCTTTCTTTTTTATTTTTTTTATTTTTTATTTTTTTTCTTCTCCCAAGTCACTGCAGTGAAGTGTTTTCCTTTCTTTTTTATGGCTAACAACCAAATCCAGGTCATCATCATCTCTCACTATACATTACAGTAAAAGCCTCATAAGGGATTGCCCCACATTCCTTCCTTTCCCCCTCTGAGGACTCTTCTCCATTCCTGTCCAGTTCTTATTGCTAAATCAGGTGTCACCTTTCTTCAGTCCACTCTAGCCTATCAGAAAGCCTGACTTCAGTGTCATCTTTGCCACTTTCCTCTTCTTTGTCCACATATCCAATCAATTGCCAATTCTTACTGATCTGTTCTAAGTATCCCAAAATTGTCTTCTTTTCTATTCCTACTGTCAATGCCACAACCCGTAACAGACTCTTAATAATCTCCTCATGGATCACCTATCAAATGCATTCTCCAGGTTTTGCTCTGAAATTTGTCTAGCATGAAATTCCTATTCAATGGACAATGATTTGACACTCCTGGCAGCATTAATATATGTATTTTTGTTATATACATATATAAGTATATAATTTATATTATACATAATTATATAACAAATATTACATATAATATAATAACATAACATATTTTATATATATATACATATAGCCCTCTAGGGGGAAAAAGCATGTTTTCTCCCTAGAGGGTAAAATGGCTTTCAGTAATGGCAGTTAAGTCTGCATAGCCCTCAAAAGAACAACTTTGACAGAGACAGCCCTCGCTGGTATATGAAACTTTTGGTATGTTTGCTAAACAGTAAGTCATACTACATGTCAATATAACTACAATATAAACATCATATCAGAAAACAGATGTTACCCTTTTCTGCCACGCTATGTGAATCATCTGGTTATGGAATGGCTGAGCAAGCAGAAACCTTTCACTTGGAAATTCAAATCTGAAAGTCCCAGTTTTCACAAATACCATATAAAGAAAAGCTCCAGATAGTAAGACTACATACCTTTTCAATCTGTTTTTGTTTACTTAGTTCTTTCTGTTGCTTCTCTTTTACTCTTTCTATTTCTTTTTGTTTTTCTGATGCCCTTCGATCCTAAAAAAGAACAGATGAATAAAACTAATAAATTAAATATGAAATAACTTTAAATTATAGACATTCCTCTTTTGTAACCTTCCAACTTTTTGGCATTTATATGAGAAAGCATATCAACAGTTTACATTCTATGTATGGTAGACAGTTATCCAAAGTCTAAATGCTGTATCAGCAATGGCATCCACTATAAATCTTGCTCAGCAAAATCATTTTATCTACTTGTTAACATCAAAGAGTTTATATTATTATACCACTCTTGGAAAATTAGTTACCATTCTTGGAAAATCAAGTATCTCAGATTCTTACCAGTTCAGCATGCAAAGCTATCTGTTTTGCCAATCCAACGGAATCACAAATCTAAAATGACAAAAAGTATGTTCTTAGGCAGTTCTCACATCAAAGCAACAATTTCAAGTATTCAAATACCTAATATAACTAGTTTTATAATTAGTCATCATACACTGCTTCAAACAAAAGCAGATGTAAGAATGCTCCAGCCCCCAAACTAAGCCTTTGTATGTTTTCTTCAGAGTCTGAGAGCTTTCATGGCTGATTCTCACCCCCTTTATGTACCCTGCTTCTTGTTATCTCAAATTCTTTACTGATATAGTAAGGCTGCCAAACAGCGAAGCTGTCAGCTGCTCCAAGCTGAAAACATCTGAAAATAGGTGATTATGGGAATATATTCCATTTCCAGGATAAGTTTATGAAGCTAAATTAAGATCGCACCAGCTATCAGTGGCCACGGGAGGCATGGGTCTGTAGAGTCAGAAGGACCAACCCAGCAGCCTGGCTCTCTTCAGAGCAACATGCTTTTGTCAAGCAGCAGCTCAGTAGAACTAGGCAAAATCTGGGTGTTTTTTTCCAGAAATCTCAGTCAGAATTACATAAAAATTTAATCATGTAATTTTTAATTAATAGTAATTTTATTTAATTAGTAAGAATTTAATTGTTATTAAATCTTAGTAAGCATTAATTAGTGATTATGATTAAGTATTTCACAACAGAAACATTCTGAAAAGCCATGTACCTTTTCCCCTTCATTGTTTGATTCAAATATATAGCAGACTGATGACAGATTACTTTCACTTCTCCCTCCTGATGTCCGAAGAACAAATCCAAAAAGGCGCTTATTCTCCTGGTGTGTAGCATACAAAACTACACAGGGCAATGGAAACTGCCGCGGAAAACATCAGAGCAAACATGAGATCTTTCAAACCATTACAATAGCACTTATATACGACAAATTCACATACTAAATTCTAAAATTATCATAAATATTAAAGCCAATTTTTTTAACAGACTGGTAATCCAAGAACAACAATGTCATATTGGGTTTGGATTACTAAGCAGAAAAAGAGGGTGTTAAATACTGAATTTGTTTTATTAGTTAGTCAACACATTTTACAAAGTCAAATTCAATAACAAAAATAGTCTTTTTAATGAATGAACTAAATGGAAACACACACACCTGCAGCTATTTGAAATAGATAATTATAAAACACTCTCAATCATGTTCACCTTTTAATTCCTCTTGTTTTTTGGTGTGTATGATACATGCCTCCTGAGGGGCAAACACTAAATATCGCACAAAATTGTGTCATTTTCAGTTACATGGAATGTTCAATTATAACTTTTTGGAGATGGCCATAGATTTAACTGTAACAGTCTAAACACCAATCATAATTGATACTACTATACCTGAATATCAGGATCAGGATTATTATCAAGTTGTAAGTTGTGTATAGGCACAAAGCTTAACTCATGTAGAACTCACCGTGAGCCTTGTAACCTGGGTCTGTGGATCAATTAACCTATAATAATAATTAAAAATTTGGAAAACAAATTTTAATTAGGCTGAAATTATGTAACTTTTTCTACAGTTTTTTTAGGGAGGGGTTATTACTTACTTTAAACAGTCACAAGTGACTAATAAATGTGATTCTGTCATACGAAAGATGTTATGGATGGCCCGGGCAGCTAAGATTTGGCGCATTGTTTCATAAACAACATCTGGATGGTCATCTGATTTCACCTCCATAGAACCAAGGAACCGGACAATAAATAACTGATGAAGAATGGAATCTATAATAGAACAAGGTACACTATGCATTTTTAAATGCCACATTTATTTTCCTTTTAGATTCCCAGTGAAAAATTCAACCTAAAGGGGAGGTATTTAGAAATAACTCCTAACTACAGTGTTCAAATTACAGGAAAATTAAGGTCTCAAATTCAAATACAAAAGGGTAATGCTTCAACAATTGGTGGTTCTGGGTAAAAAGAATTCCTTGCACTATTACTGCTTTTCTGTCAGTTTGAAACTGTATAAAATAGATAATAGGAAAAAGAAAAAATAAGTTATGCTCTAGTACTAGAATTTAAATATCAGCTGTTAGGAAGAGCTTAAAAGACATCTTATGCATTGAGAATTGGACTATGAAGTGAAAAGTATGATATTCTATAATTCTCCATAATTCTATATAGTAACAACATCTTAAGTCAGATTAAGTTCTGTTGTTTCAAGTTAATATTAAAACTGAGCATAGTAGCAAACATAAATGACAAATTCTTCACAGTTTACTACTGAGAAGTAGTTCTAAAATACTGCACATCTGTTTTACCTTCAGTTTCAGATTTTGTATTTCCTCCAGATTCTCCAAATGGATTTGTACGCCTGAAAAGTTGAGAAAAAAATATGAACATATGGCCAGATACATGGAAGAAATCTAATTATTGAATCGAGAGTTAAAATGAAGAGTCACAAAACTTTGCACAAACATTTTAGAAAGAAAAACTCTTAAAATGGTCCATCCTGGTAAGGAACACCACTGATGACCAAATTACTATGACAGATGGCTTCTGCCCTCACACATTAATAGGCTGCACCCAGTGTTGCTGTATTTTAGAAGGTTAGCCATACACAACAAAAATCAACATTATAATAAACCATGTTGCAGAAGTTCTTGAATTTAAATAAGCTAGCACAGAGGAACACTGATTTAGCTCCAATCTCAGCTGCTTAAGAAAAATGCCAGGGATTTCCTGGGATTGTAAAAACCTTTTTAGGTTCTCCAAGTACAAGTTGCAAGTCAACTATGATGATTTGAACATTTTCTAGTATTAAACCTACCATGTTTCCCCGAAAATAAAAATAAAGGTCTTGTATTTATTTTTCCTCAAGACACCCTAGGGCTTATTTTCAGGGGATGTGTTATTTTTTTTAAGTACGGTACAACAATCTACATTTATTCAAATATACTTGTCTTCTTCTGGAACATCATCATAACTCTCCAAACCCCGAATTCCATCCTGAATTTCTTGCGACTCTATTTCCTTTAGAACCATTGGCCCCAATCTCTCATCGAGCAACAGAGCTCTCATTAAATGAGCAGCTCTTATCCACGTAACCTGCTCAGAGTGCATTGGTAACAACACTGCCAGTGATTTTGTCCCATGAATTCTTCACCCAAATCACGACCTCTTGCAGGCTAGGCTTCACAAAGTTTCCACGCTGATTTCTTGTCATTCTATTTTCAATGTAGTCATTAATTTCCATGAGCAAATGATCTTTGAATGGCTTGTTTAGTGCAACATCAAGGATCTGCAGATAGGCAGTCATTCCTGCAGGAATCATTATTTAATCTATTCTTCTCTCTGCAAGGAAGTTCTTCATGTCTTTAGCATGG